AGCACTTCCAGTCTCACATCCCAAACTATGCTCCTGCAGCAAGTCATGTTGAAAGTATTTCAGAATTTTTCAATACCTAGAGGTGCTCAGAAGCCTAAATTTGCTAAGAGTCCAATCACCTGGCTCGTTTCTGTTCCTGCTCCCCTTGCACAGCTCAGGCATGTGACCTGGAGAAGATCCACCTGGATGAGAAGGCATTCCGCTGGCACCACAACGAGGACCAGATGGCTGTGGAGAAGCTCTCCGATGGGATCAGGAAGTTCGCTGCAGATGCAGTCAAGCTGGAAAGGATGTTAAAGGTAGGTGTTGTGTCCTGCCCCTCCCAGGCACTGCAGCCAACCTGCAGTTCCCTTTGATGTGGCCGAGGATTGAAGCAAGTCTGATCAGGCTTTTGGACACGTTCTGTAGGACAGGCCACCTGAATTCAGTGAGCTTGGTAATCCTCACTGCATGCTGAGAAAAGTGAATGCCAGGTGTGGGCACACCTGCAGTTTGGGGCCCCAGGCAGGGTTTGGACTGGCAGCTCATCAAGATAACACCACTATCAAAGTGAGGAGTCCTTCAAGTCTGATTCTAAACTCATTAGCTGTCAGCAGCAGCACAAGACACAAATAATCTGCACATAGTGAGCTGGAGATAAATCATGTTTGTACTTGGAGGCACTGAGAAAGCACAGATCTGCTGTCAAAGTCACCTGTCAATTTATGGAGAGGCTTTCACATGGGATTCATCAAACTGTGTGGGTTTGGGGGACAAATACATACCTGATTCTAAGTACTTGGTGACTGACAACTCCTTGCACTGTTCCCAGACTCTTCCTCAGCTGCTCTTTGTTTGTTCTCTTTGCAGGAGCGAATGTTCAGTGCTGAAAATGGAAAGTAAAAAGCAAGAGAAACCAAGCATTTCCCTGAGTGCTCCAGGCTGAGCAGATCACCTGAGGTTCAGTGGATGTACAAATGTCTTACCTGTAAAAGTATCATGCTGTGTATGGATAGATTTCTGTATCATGGTTGGTTTTTGTGGGTTGTTCTTTTTTTCTTTTTACCAATTTGCAAAGGGACAAATAGAACGTCAAATCCTTGTGGCACTTTTGTCAATACATGCAAATTAACCCAGACCTGCCTGCCTTGTAACATGGTCAGTTCACTGCTGCAGCAGCCACCTGAGAGCATTTTAATTTCTTAAGTTTTCATACTTGAACTCCCAGTTCAGTCTGCAGCCCTACCACATTGAAGAAAGCAGTTTTGAATTTCAGGCACTTTTAAAGGGAAAACACGGGTTTCAAAAGCCCCTCTTGGTACAAAACACACAGGTACTCTTATGAGACATACATATGTGGAAATTATATATATAACTTATTAGTTTATGTAGGCCCAGTTCCACGAGAAGTAGACAAGAGCAAGTGACAGGACAAGAAGGAAATAGCCTCAATTTGTGCCAGAGGATGTTTATTGGATATTAGGGTTATTATTAGGGATATTATACTCTGGAAGGGTTATTAAGCACTGGCACAGCTGCCCAGGGGAGTGGCTGATTCCCTGTCCCTGGAGGGATTTAAAAGCCATGTGGATGGGGCACTTGGGGACACTGGTTAGTGGTGGCCTTGGCAGTGCTGAGGGAATGGCTGGACTCTGATCTCAGAGGTCCTTTCCAACCTCAGTTATCTCACAATTTAAGAGATTCCTGCTTATAGGTAGACACAATTAACTGTTTCCTGACAAAGTTGCCTGAACTTTACTTTTTAAAAAGGGAAGAAACACAGTACTGAGGCTACAACACTGACACACACGTGCTCTACCCAGCTTGAGTAACACAAGGGAAAGGAGCCAAGGGAACCAGTGCTCACTCACAGCAGGGTGACACAGCAGCACTATTGTCAGGACATCCATAACAACCTGGGAACAAAGGGACAGCCAGCTACAACCAGACATGGATACCTGGGGCTGCATTCCCAGCCCTGCCCTGGGAATAGTGCCAGTCTGCCAGAGAGAGGTGAAGCCACCTCAGGGGACTCACCCAGCCCCTCTGTCCCTGCAGGTGTCAGGGGTGGGAAGCAGGGCCAGGCAGAAGGCACAGCTGTCCAAAGGGAGCTGACCTTTTCCCTGTCCAAGGCAAGCCAGCATTAAAAGCATGGAATCTGTCACCTCAAAGTTTGGGCTCAAATTAAACATGGGGCTCAAATTAAACTCAGGTGTTCTCAAAGTTGCCCAAGAGACAGTCAAATACTGCAGTGAAAGGGGAAAAAAAGAGGCAGGACAAGGTCCCTCAATCACAGTTAAACCTTACTCCACTTACCCACAGCCACCTCAGGAGCTGAGGGGGCAGGAGATGAACAAGTTATGCTTGAAGTGTCCCAGGGTCCCTCACCTGCTGTGGTGGCAGCTGGTGTTCCCCTCTCAGCACTGGGGTTTCCTCTTCCCTGCAGCACAGGGGGATGTTGGGAGGTGCCTGATTTCCGGGGCTAAACCACAAAAATCTACATCCTTCCTGAAATGGGGCAGAAACCCAACAACCACATGAACCTTCAGCCTCTACAGCTCTTCAGTCAGTCACACAAAGAACCTTTCCTCCCTAACTCTTCCTCAGCTTCGCCTCTCTTCAGATGAAGAGATCTCCCACAGAATCCTGTCTGAGCCCAGCTTACAAACCCCTTCAGGGGTTTCCCAGATGCCCATACCTCCTCAGATTAAGAAATCAGATGTCTGTCATCTCCCAGAAAGATTTTCTCTCTCACAGTCACAAGGACAAGCTTAGACTCAGGAATGAGGAGGAAATAAAGTGTGTGTTTGTGGAGAGATCCCAAAGAATCACTACACACCCTGTAAAACTTGATTTAAAAATGCCCTTACCTTTTGTTAGACACACCCAGAGCCAGTAATACTTGCCAAAGACTCAACCTTTCCAACCTCTTGGGACAGGAAGTCTCCTTTCATGACAATTTTTTTCCAATCCCTGGCTAGAATTAGTCATTCTGTACAAGAACTTGAAGCTGCCATCACTAATGGCTTCAAGTTGTGCCAGGGGAGTTTTAGGTTGGATAATAGGGAAAATTTCTTCATGGACAGGGTTGTCAAGCATTGGAACAGGCTGCCCATGGCAGTGGTGGAGTCACCATCCCTGCAAGTGTTCCAAAAAAACGTGTGGATGTGGCATTTGAGGGCACAGTTTAGTGGTGAACACAGTGGTAGTGCTGCTCTGATACTTGGGCTTGATGGTCTTCAAGGTCTTTTCCAACCTTAATTCCAAGACTCTATGATGCTAATGGCTCCCAATTCATCAGCAGGATTTCTAAAGGTGACAATCCAGCCCACCATCCAGATCCACCTCAGAAGCTGCTGGCACACACCTGCACACATCCCTCAACCCTCCCTCAGTTTTCCAGGAGCAACTTCCTCACCGAGGAGATAAAAATGTCTGTGTGATGGGAGAGAGTGAAAACACACACACAGAAACTCCTCTCTGTCTGCTCTCATGTGGGAGGAACAAGGAAGCACCACAAAATCTCCAGGCACTGTACTTTGTCCATCAGTTTACCACCCAACAGAGGTACAAAGAGCAGTTCCAACAGGTCCCAGATGCCACAAAATAAGGGGAAAAAAATAGCACAGTAGTGAACTGATCAAAGTCTGCAGTGGCCTGACTGCTGTTTGCTCACCTGGCAGCCCATCCATGACAGAACCTCATGTAAGAAATGAAAACAGGACACGGGGTAGACATCAATATTCTATTTTTACAGGCAAGCAGTGAAAGGTGCAATGGATTTTGGCAAAATCCCATGGAAACAGTCCTACAGGAGATACAGACTTGTGGCCACTCAGACTCCCACTTCCCACTCGAGTTGTGGCTTTCCAGATGTAAAGTGTGCCCTGAAGGTGTCAGCATCAAATCCCTAAGAAGACTTGCCAGGAATGAAGATTTATCAAAGCCATTGGATAATTTCTATCAGAGCCCAATTTCCATTTCAAAATTAAATTCTAGAGCTGGGCTCTAGAATGTAACAGTAGAAGACCCAGCAAATCCCACAGCAGTTGGTCTTTTAAAAAAAAAAACACACCAAATTCTTGAGACAGAGCTAAACACTTGGGTTTCTACAGAAGAGACAAGGTTACTTTGACTTGATGACTTGTTACAGTCAATATTACCCCAGTAAGAAAACAAAAATGTAAGTCCAAAGGTCCTTCCCTTCAGAGCACTGTAGAAATGCTGCCCACTATTCCAAGAGGGAAGGAAAAAATCAATTACTTAAAAGTTGATTTATCTACTTTCCAATATATTTAGTGTGTTTGAGCCTGCAACAGTGAAAAAAATCTTCTCAGTCTGGTTATTCCTTTCCACGCTCAGCTTCAAGCCACACGTGCAGGTCAGAAGGAAGGAGAAGGTCAGATTCCAGCCTGCAGCTGGTTCCTCAGATGTGATCCACATTATCTGCCAGCATTTTTAGTCCCTTTTGTCCATGAAATTCCAGCAAGGGGCAGCAGCAACGTACTCCCAGAGAGGAATATTTTAAAGAGAACAAAATTCACAACACAAGCAGCACAAAGGGGAACAAATAACCAGTTGGGAGACCACGTAAAAATCCGCTGAGCAAACTTTTTTAAAACACAATTCCAAGGATGTGAACGGGCAAGGAAGAGAACAAAGGGCACACTGTGCATCAGTGTAATGCCAACCCAGAGCAAGGCCTCCAGCTTCAGCCACTTGTATTCACAGCACCACCTGTGGGATGGGTTTCAAGAAGACAGTTCCCCCCCCTGCAGACTGAGGGTCTAGAGAAGCACTGAGCAAATGCAGCAGCAAAAATGCAAGGGGGGGGGTCACAGTTGCTTCATCCATTCGGTACACACAGAACCTGACACGGCCACTCCACTGTCACAGTCACTTCCCAGGCCACAACAGGGAGTCACAGGGATGTTTTATCCAAGAGCCAAGGAAATCCTCAGCCTGCTGGCTCTTCATCCATCCCATCTGCAAAGAGACCTGCTCCTTCATTTCCTGCTGAAGGGAACACAGCCAGACACGACACGACCCATTAGTCCACAGCCAGCACAGGACTTGTAACACACATGGCCCTGAGCAGGAGAAGATTTTTGGGGTTATCTGCATGTGCTCTTCTGTCTGACAAGGTGACAGTCAAACAGCCAAGCCACTTCCAAAGGAATTAAGTCCATTCATTCCCAGAATCCTCAATCAGAACTGACTCAATGCTAACCTGCCAAAGCTCAAGAAACAAGAGATGTTTCTCCTAATAAAAATATTTAGTGAAGCCTATTTAATATTTTATTTTACCATTTCAACTATAGCTATGCATTTCCCCCCACAATTTCATCTTTTTTAAAATAATCAGATGCTTTCTACCAGACACAACTGCCTGAAGAGCTTGATCAAGAATGACACTCACTTCATTAGTTAACCAAGGGCAAAAGCCTCTTTGGAGGGACAATATTCCTGAAGCTAAAAGATGCTCACACCCCTGGCTGTTCCCAGTTCTTATCCCCATCTTGCCTCACCTGACATTGCAGAGAATCAGGAGGTTCTGGACGGCAGGGAGGGTGGAATTCTCGTTCTGCCCCGTCACCAGGTGCCTGTCCAGCACGACATGAACAGCGTCGGGGCTGCTGGCTGGGCACGGGAGAGAGCACAGCAGGGAGAGTCAGTGCACAGAGCACAGACACAACAGGGGGAGTCAGTGCACAGAGCACAGACACAACAGGGGGAGTCAGTGCACAGAGCACAGACACAACAGGGGGAGTCAGTGCACAGAGCACAGACACAACAGGGGGAGTCAGTGCACAGAGCACAGACACGACAGGGAACTGCTCTGACCTGACACACCTGCTGGCTGCTGATCCCTAACCCCACACAGGGACAGCCTAAAGCCCCTGATCCTGCAATGATTTCCCCAGAAAAACCCTTTTCTGAAAGGACAGGACTGGCCCCTTGATTTGATGAGCACCAGGTGGGGAAGGCACATACAGTCAAGAGATTTTCATTACAAAGACCTCAAAGTATGTATTTTAAAGTTTTGATTACCTTGCCATCCTTATGCAAGACATTAGTTGTAATACCATGCTACAAAAATGAAATACTGATTTTCTGGCCAATTTTAATACCCCAGTGTGCTCAGATCCACCAGCAACTGCTCAGTACCCCAACCAGAATTTTTAAGTTACCTCATTACAGACAGAATCATAGAATCCCAGCCTAGTTTGGGTTGGAAGGGACCTTAAAGCTCATTCAGTCCTACCCCCTTGCAGGGACACCTTCCACCAGGGTGCTCCAAAAGCCCCACCCAACCCAGCCTTGAAAAATCACTAATAAATTAGGGAATGGCAGATGAGATATCCTGGCAGAGTCCCACTCAGCTGGGTACAACTGGCACACAAACACCCATTTGCAAAAGGCAGGCACTAAGTGTGAAGTCCTGGACACCAGGAGTGACATACCACTGAATGTAGCTCCAGAATCCTTCACAAAATCCTCCACAATAATGGACAAACTGGCAAAGTTTGGCTCCCTCACCAGTTCATATACAGAGGGCTGAAAGAAGATCAAAAGGAGATAAGTTTGTCTGGTTTTTTACAGAAAAAAAAGCCAAGCAGACCCCACACATTTCCCTGCAACTCATATTCCTGTTCCCTCTGTGATTCTCCCAACCAAATGACCACGTGCAGCTTCGATGGATTTCCTGCAGGAAGCCAACTGAAAACTTCCTTTATCTCACTTGAAAGCAAACACCAAACAATTTCTGCACATGTGATTAACCTCAGGGAAGTGCAGACCTGTCTGGCTGTGGGACACAAACATCTGGACACAGATGCTGTGCCACTTGTAGTGCCCAAATAACAGTAATCCACCTCAGAAGGAGTATGGGAAACAAATAAATAAAGACACAAAAATTTAAGAGCCCTCAGTTCAGCTTTTACATGCACAGGAGGAAATGTCATTTTATGGTTTCCATACCAACTATAGTTAGGCCACATCACACTTTAATACATTTCATCATGGACTATTACAATCCATGCACAATCCATAAGTGAAGTAGAAGTACATAAGGACACTGATAGCATCTGTCTCCAAAAATCTTGATTTCTTAACTTTTCATGTAAATTTTCAACCCTAAAAGCCATACTATAAAGATTTGTATCACCTTGGCACACCTGCCATACAGATGGACTGTGAGGTAAGAGATATGGCTGCACATAAAATAAATTATCAGCAGTACCTGGCTATTTTAATTACAAGCCAATTTGTACAAACAGCCTTTTTCCTGAAGCTTCCTCTGTCTTTTTTCCTATGACTTCCTCTGCCTTTTAAAATGAAACAGCACCTTGAGAAATAACTTACCCTAGAATTCATGGGGAAAAAAAATTCTCACAAGTCCTCAGCTATGAATCCAAAGAGCTGCAGTGGGAATTCCCAGCATTTTAGTGCTTCAGTTTGAAGTTTACTGCACAGTCAGAGGGAAAACACTCCACAAGCCAGTCAGAGTGGGATAATCTCCCCATGCACTGTGTTGGGCCCCTCGTCAAAGACAACTCTCCACATCCTGCACAAACTCAGCGTAGCAAACTGATGGTTTTTATTCTTAGGGAATTTCAGGTTAGGACCAAACCCACCAGAAATCACAGCAAGGGAAGTCCCCAAACAGCAAGTCAGACAGAAGCTCAACTTACCCCTGTCAGGCTGTACCCCTGAAAAACCCAGGATTTGTCCTCATTGGTGGCACAACACAAAGCTGCCACTCCGTGTCCAACAGCACAGATGGGCTCTAGGGGAAGAGATTAAAGCTATTTGTGAACATCTTCAAACAGTCAGAACACAGGAGAGTGTGAGGACATTGCCCTCCTGCAGGAGACTTACACTGCACTCTTAATATTCTCTTGGGCTGTAAGGGCTTTCCTGCACACTGCAGTAACAATTACTGTCTATAATAAGATTTATTATCATTATTATTATAACAATAAGAGGGAGAATAGGAACTGCCCCAGTCCTGCAAGAAGTTAACAGCTTTTAACTCCAAGTTCAGAGACAGCAGCAAAGAGGAAACACAGATGCTCAGACATGAAGCACACCCAAAGTCTTGATTAACTCCAGCCTTAATGATGATCCTGGGACATTCCACACTTGGCTCTGAACCTTGAATCCCAATGATTTCCCCAGAGCCATTTCTGTATCACTGTAAGGCAGGGAATCCTCTTCTGAGACAAGCTTGGAAAAGCTACTGGCATTGCTTTAAGATATTTTAAGACCTCCTTTTTCCTTCAAGACTCCCCTTTTCAGACACCTTGGGAGGCTTTTAAGGTTTCCTTTCCTTTTTTAAGACCCTTTTAAGACACTTGTTTCCCCCCCCCCTTTTAAGACACTGGCTTTCCTTGCCAGCTCTGAATGCTCTTTAACTACACAAACACTGAAGGCATTAGAAGGCAAGAGTCCTGCAGGAACAGCACAGAACCACTATTTTATTTACCAAAACAACCAAGGACGTTCACCTACTGCTCTCAGTGCTGAAGTGCTGCAGTATCTTGGCCAGGTACCCGCTGTTGGCAAGGTCAGTCACAGCCCCAGGGCAGTTTGGGATCAGCAAGGCGTGGTACCGAGCCCCTGGGCAGGAGGAAAGCGTGAGCTCATCATAACAGAGGTAACAAACAAAAAAGCCTGACCATAAATACACTGCAGGTTTGAAAACAAAAAAAAAAAATCAAAAAAAAAATCAGCAAACCCACACAGAGCAGTCAAAAGTGAACTAAAGAAATTAACAGAGCTATGAGGGGAAAAGAAAAAGGTTCTTGTTAGGGCAGGGAACATATTTCTAATGAGCTGTGCCTACCCAGGCAACACAACTGTTCTGTCTGCTAGCTTCCACTTCAGCAAAATATTTATTTTTAACCAGTAACAATGTAGTGTGTGTATATATACAAGAGATGGAGATGATATGTACTGTATACATTAAGAGAATTACCAAGCCAAGATAAATAAGCAAACAAGGCAGTTGCCAGGACTTCCTCTTAAATGAAAAATAACCTCTTAAATGAAAAATAAACAAACAACTGCAGTTGCCACGGTCTTCTCTTAGAACACAAGTTTTATGCCTTTCCTGTGTCGTTCTTCCCTGAAAACCTGGCCCTAGGCAGCACCTGTTCCCCTGACAACGGAGATGGCAGTGCCCTGGTGAAGGTCTCACCATCAATGGACTCCAGCTTGGCGGGGTTGGCGTAGGATTTCATTCGGAAGTCCTGGATCCAGCGCATGTTGCCCTCGTTCACATCCACGAAATCAATTGACTTCCCCTGGGGACAACACGGTTCACATGGTCAGGATCCCTGCACAGACACCCACCACACTTCCTGAAGGACAGACATGTGGGACTTTGGGATGCTGCAGCTCTCAAAAACCTCAAGTTTTCCATTTTTCCTACTTCATTCATTATAATAGTTCTCCCTCCTGCCAAACTTTGAGTGCATTTCCCTCAAGTCAATCAAGATATCAACTGGCTCCAAACTGAAATCACAGCATTTGCCCATTTTTACTCACCCCAGGAGTTGCAACTTGCAGGTTAAAAGCAGAGCTGGCCAGAGTAAAGCAGTGAAGGAAGGACTGGGCTGAGACACCTGGAAAACAGATTCCAACACCTTAAGGAAACAACAGTGATAGTTTAATCCCAGCCACACTAGCTCACTTCATCTGGCAAAGCACATTAAAAAGCTCATCTCAAAAGCTTTAAATTTTAGAGGGGTTTTTTTTATGATTATATGATTCTGTGATTATAAGACGTAATAAGTGTACAACATTCATTACAGGTGAGCTGTGTATTGAAGAATAGAATCAGAGAATCACAGAATGGTTTAGGTTGGAAGGGACTTAAAAGATCAAGAAATTCCACCCCCTGCCATGGGCAGGGACACCTTCCACTATCCCAGGTTGCTCCAAGCCCCGTCCAACCTGCCCTTGGACACTCCCAGGGATGGGGCAGCCACAGCTTCTCTGGGCAACCTGTGCCAGGGCCTCGCCACCCTCACAGGGAAGGATTTCTCCCCATATCCCATTTAACCCTGCCCTCCTTCAGCTGGAAGCCACTAAAGCCACACGCAGGGGGCCAAACCAGCACGGCTGCTCCCGGAGGCAGCACCTGCAGCGCAGGTGTCCGTGTGCGGGGAACAGGCACAGCCGCAGCGGGTGCGGGGAGGGCACAGCTGCGACCGCGGGGCTCGGCCGCGGGCACCGGCACACACACAGCTGCCAGGCCACTGCCAGGGCGGCCGTGGGGCGCACACACGGATGACGAGCCCCGCCAGCGGAGCGAACACACGCGGGAGCTCACTGCCCGAACACGGTGCGTACAGCGGACACCGCACCGACGAGCGCC